AAAAAAAAAAAAGTACTGTTTTTAAAAAAGATTTATTTGAGACAGAGCAGGCGTGCACGCACGCAAGTGAGCACAGAAAGGGGCAGAGGGAGAGGGAGAAACCCGAATAGACTCCCTGCTGTGCTTGGAGCCCGACATGGGGCTTGATCCCATGACCCCAAGATCACAACCTGACCAGAAACCACGGGTCAGATGCCCAACCACCTGCACCATGCAGGGGGCCCAAAAGTACTGCTTTAAGGTTACAATTCAGAACGACAAAAATAAAAATAAAATTGACATTTCAAGTGTTGACAAGGATACAGGTCAACAGAAAGTCTTGACTGTTACTGTGGGAAAGCAAAATGTACCACCACTTTGGAGAGGAACTTTGCAGTTTCGTACAAAGTTCAAAATAGACACCATATGACCCAGCAATTGGACGTATTTACTCAAGAGAAATGAAAACCTGAGACTGAATGTTTGGGCCTTGCCCAAACTCATGTTGAACTCCTAACCCACCACAATGGGCTGGTATTTGGAGGTGGGGCCTTTGGGAGGTGATTAGATCTGAGGGTGGAGCCCACACAAATAGGATTAATCCCCTTATAAGACACCCCTGCAAACTCTCTCACCCTCTCCACCATGAGGACACAGTGAGAAGACAACTAATCTGAGAACAAGGAGGCAGGCACTCTCACCAGACACCAAATCTTCCAGTGCCTTAATTTTGCACTTCCCAATCTCCAAAACTATGAGAAATAAGTTTGTTCTTTAAGCCACTCAGTCTATTTTAGTTTGTGATGGCAGCCTGAACAGACTAAGACATATACAGACAATATTGAACTATATTTCAGACCTGGGCTCCTGGAGAAATTCCCTCACACCGCTGTGTTCCAAGAAATGCAAAAGGCCACCTGCTCTCACATACTCCCAAGTAAGACCCAGATAGACAGGGGCTCCACACTTCCTCAATTACTCCATCCTTTCTCATGTCTCCCATAAGACTCATGGATGACTCCCTTCTTTATCTGACTCTATAAAAGTCCAGGCCCCCTTTTTTTTTTTTAAATATTTTATTTATTTATTTGACAGAGAGAGACACAGCAAGAGAGGGAACACAAGCAGGGGGAGTGGGAGAGGGAGAAGCAGGCTTCCCAAGGAGCAGGGAGCGCGATGCGGGGCTCGATCCCAGGACCCTGGGATCATGAACTGAGCCGAAGGCAGATGCTTAACAACTGAGCCACTCAGGCGCCCCCCCCTTTTCTTTGAAATATTACACATTAATGAATACAAAGACGGGTGTGGGTTAATGGAAACCAGAAATGTGGTGGCAACCATCATGAACATCCCATGTCTCCATATTGAATTAGCACATCTGGACCTCCCACACACATTCTTAGGCTATGGACTTCTTTTAGGATGCTGAAAGTTGCCTTTCCCCTCAGCCAAACTAGTGGACAGGAGGTGTAAAAAGAGGTAAGCGGCATCTTTTCCTTAACTTTTCTTAAATTTCCTTTCACTAAGGAATTGCTGTTCCTTCATTGGACTTAATTTTCCAGACTAGCTCTCACAGGGCTGTGTGGATGCCCAAGGGGCACCTGGCTGAGCAGCCATGCCTACTCTCAAAGTAGACAGACATCACCAGAGGTTTTTTGTTTTTTTAATCCGTGTTTATTAACTTGCTGGAAAGGCAAGAGACACTGAATACCTCACCAAACAGGCGCAGGGAAGGTTAAAGGTCTACAAGAACTAGAACGGGAAGTGTATTAGTTTCCTATGGCTGCTATAACAAGTTACCACAAGCTGGGTACCTTAAAAATACACACATTTATTCTCTTACAGTTCTAGAAGCCTGAAGTCCAAAATCACCTTCACCAGGATAACAAGGTGTCAGCCAGGCTGGTTCCTTCTGGAGGATGTACATGGAGAATTAATTTCCCTGCCTTTACCACCTTCTAGAAGCTACCCACATTCCTTGCCTCATAACACCTCTCCCATCTTGAAATGCATTGATCTAACTTCTGGTTCCATCACCTCTCCTCTGACTCTGACCCCGTATGTACCCCTGTGATGACATTGCCCCCACCAGATAACCCAGGATCATCTCCACATTGCAAGATCTGAAGGCCATTATTTAGCCTTCCAACAGGAATTCCTGATTGTTGTATTAAAGAATTGCAACGCAGCCTGTGGGAGGATGAAGGTCTTGGGTCTGCACATATGGCTAAAACTAGTCATATGGGGGGGCTTGGGTGGCCCTGTTGGTTAAGCATCTGCCTTCAGCTCAGGTCATGATCCCAGGGTCCTGGGATTGAGCCCCACCAGGCTCCCTGCTCAGCTGGGAGCCTGCTTCTCCCTCTCCCCCCTGCTTGTGCTCTCTCTCTCAAATAAAATCTATAAAAACAAAACAAAAAACTAGTCGTATTGGCCATGAGTCGCGTAGGGCTTTTAAGGGGTGATGCATCAGACTCCTCACAGTCCACTGATCTCACAATTTCAGCTGTTAGCCCTACTGTACCCAGGTGTAGTATCTCCAAAGCAAATGAAGAGTTTTCCTTCTACACTGCCCCAAGGAGCTCCTTTTCCTAACTAGTCTAGAAGGAAAGTGTAGATTGGCAGTGGCCCTGCTGGAGTCTCAGGAAGGAACAAGCAAAAAGAGCACAAGAAGAGAGAAAAAGGGCAGGTGATAATTTTCTATAATGCTTGTGTTAGTTTTTCTTTTTCCTTTAAAGATTTTATTTATTTGAGAGAGAGACAGAGCACAAGCAGGGGGAGGGGCAGAGGGAGAGGAAGAAGCAGGTAGCCCGATGTGGGGCTCGACCCCAGGACCCTGAGATCATGACCCAAGCCACAGGCAGATGCTCAACCGAGCCACCCAGGCATCCCGCTTGTGTCAGTTTTCTATTGCTGCCTTAACAAATTACCAGCTTAAAAAAAACACAACTTTATTAACTCACAGCCTTTATTCCATGACTCTCAAGGGGAGCCATTCCCAGGGTTTTGAGGCTATGTCATCCAGCCTAAGCAGCTCTCACATGGCCAGCACCTTTATTTCCACAGGCGGGATGTTCTGAGATCATCCTAGACCTCTCTGTAGCCTCCTACTCCACATTTTCTGAGACCCATCCTCTCCTCACAATGACACCTCCAAGTCCCAAAGAAGGAAATTATTCTTATGCCCTGGGCCATCGGATGCTCTCACTCGAAAGAAACTTCCTGGATGTTCCCCATCTGTGCTTAAAGTTGCCCTGTGACCCTGATCTAGCTCCTTCTGGTAAAAAAAGCTCCAAAGAAACCCAAAATTTGCCTTGCTCTGGCTCCCTCTTTCTATTCCTTAACAAATTATTATAGCAACAATGTATGGCTTATAATAGAGAAAAAAAAATCATACACAATTGTAGGCCCCTAAGAAAACCATGTTTATTTCTCTGTGACTAACATCCAATCTACATCCACATGTGCACATACCTGTACATGGCCATGGCTGGAATGACAGCAAGTCTTCTATTTTATGCCTCTTTTATTGTTGTTGTTGCCTGCCATATTAGAAGCATTTTCAACATGGTAAGAAAACCTTCATAATTATGGTTCAGCATGACTGCATAAAACAAATTAGAAATGTCCTAGATGAACAATGGGGGGAGGTGATAACAGAATCACAGGAACTCATTTTTATTTCCACAATTAAAGTAACGCATCACATTTCTCAGCAGCAGCCCTCTCCATCTTAGTATGAGCCGGCTTCAGTCTTAACAGGGACAATTTCATTGTTCATTCTCAAGCAACGTCCTCATCCAGCTGCCCAATCTGAAACAAATCTTCAGCAACCGACAGGATTGTAACATAGGCAGACTACAAACAGCAAAATCTAACTACAATTCTGTGGTTGCCAACGGGTGGAAAACTGTGCAGTCTATCACCAGGATGTCTTTGCTGATACAGAGTAGACAGTAAGAGCTACCAAAAGCTTTTCTCACTGATTACACTTGATCCTAATAAGAGTTTGCTTATGTACAAGACAGACATTCCTTATTAAAGGATTTCACATACCAATTACTTACTGAATACATTCACAGGTTCTTTACTGTTTAAGCACTCTGATGCATCTCCAGGGAAGTATCTTCTTGACATTCACAGATTTTATTCCAGTGTGTGCGCTATTACATTTGGTATTGGCTGCATCATTCCTGAAGCCTCTTCCACATTTATTACCATCCTGTTTTCCCCAGGAGTTCCTTATTGTATAGATTTAATAGTACGGCTAAGGAATGCCTCACATTCATCAATTCATTGGATAGCTTAAAGAATTCTTTTCTGCTGATAGGGAAAAGTCATCCCTGAAGACATTCCTCCTTCACACAGCTTTTTGAGACCAAGTCAGGGGACAAATGTGGCCCACATTCGTTATGTTTCCATGGGTTGCTCTCCAGAGTGTGTTCTTTGATGTCGGATGAGGGACGAGCTCCTTCTGAATGTTTTTCCACACTGAGGACACTGGCTGGGACCCTCCCTGTTGTGGAGTCTCTGATGTACCGCCAGGTGAGAGTTCTGCTTGAACGACTTTCCACATTCAGGACACTGGTATGGGGTCTCCTTTGTGTGAATTCTCTGGTGCTTGGTCAGACAGGAGCTGTCCCTGAAAGCTTTGCCACACTGATTACACTCATAGGGCTTCTCACCAGTATGAGTCCTCTGGTGCCGGATGAGGCCAGCAATGTTCCTAAAAAGTTTCTGACACTGGTTACAGCCATAGGGCTTCTCACCAGTATGAATCCTCTGGTGCCGGATGAGGTAAGCACTCTCAATGAACGTTTTCCCACACTCTTTACATTCGTAGGGTTTCTCCCCAGAGTGGATCTTCTGATGTACAATGAGGTGAGAATTTCGGTTGAAGGACTTCCCGCACTCCACACATTCAAAGGGCTTCTCTCCGGTGTGAGTCCTCTCATGTTGGGTAAGGTATGAGCCATCCCGGAAAGCCTTTCCACATTTGCTACATTCATAGGGCTTCTCCCCGGTGTGGATTCTGAGATGCACAGTGAGGTGGGAGATGTCAGTAAAAGGTTTCCCACACTCATTACATCTATATGGTTTTTCTCCTGTATGAGTTCTTTGATGCAAAATCAGAGATGAATTTCGATTGAAGGTTTTCCCACATTCTAGACATTCATAAGGTTTCTCACCAGTGTGAATTCTCTGGTGTTGTGTGAGAGCTGACCCATCACTGAAGGCTTTCCCACATTTATTGCATTTATAGGGCTTCTCTCCTGTATGGATTCTTTGATGCACAATCAGGTTGTAGTTCTTGGAAAACGATTTTCCACATTCATTACAAGTGTAAGGTTTTTCTCCAGTGTGAGTTCGGTGATGCAACACAAGAGAAGAGTTCCGTTTGAAGCATTTGCCACATTCAGTGCATTTATATAGTTTCTCTCCAAGGTGATTCTTCCTGTTTTCATTAACAGATGAACTCAGGGTAAAGATGTCCCCAAAGTCCTTACCTTCATACAGTTTCTTTCCTCTTTTTGCTATTTTTTGTTCACCAAGAGGGGTAAAATGGTTGAAAGATTTAACACTTTCAGTGTATTTATAGGGTTTCTCTCTCATTTGATCTCTTCCAAGTTGAAAAACTTCCACAGAATGGTTGAAGGCTTTTCCACATGCGTCACTGTCACTTCTCTTTGTTCCGTAATTTTTCTGACAACTGTGTAAAGCTGGGTCACAATCCAAACTTTTAATATCTGAGTCACATATATGAAAACCGTTTGTAGGTACTCTCTTAGATGGCAGAAGGTCTGAGCTTGCACTCAAACGCTCTTCAAGTCCAGAATATTCACAAATTGCTTCCTGAGCCCCTGGTTTCTCCTGAGTTGAACCTGATTGTCTCAAATGTCCCTCCCGGTTCTTACAGTCCCAATTATCACCTAGAATGGAAAGATGGGAACCCTCTCTCGTAAATCCTTCCATTTCCACGTCACAGGATGGTTCTTCAGAAATATTCTCTCATTTTCAATCTCATGTCTCAGGCTGAAAAGTAAACAATGAAAAAGACAGACTTAAGTACATAAAGCTGTACCTGGAAGAGGAATAAAAAATTATGACAGACCAGATGTGTGGATCCATATTTTTATATTTTTTTATTAAATTTTCCCCAGCTTATTTTTTTATTGGAATATATTTGACACACAATGTTACATTAGTTTCAGGTGTAAGACAGTGATGTGACAAGTCTATATGTTATGCTAAACTCAGTACAAGTGTAATTACCATCTGTCACCATATAACACTGCTACAAAACCACTGACTACTCCCTGTAATGTACCTTTAATCCCCATGACTTATTCATTTCATAACTAGAAGCCTGGACCTCAATCCCCTTCACCATTTTACCCATCCCCCCACCCCTCCCCTCTGGCAACCATCAGTTTGATCTCTTTATTTATGGATCTGTTTCTACTTTGTTGTTTTTTAGATTCCCCAAAGCGAAATCATATGGTATTTGTCTTTCTCTGCTTGACTTCTTTCACTTAGCATAATACCCTCTAGATACATCCATTTGTCACAAACGGCAAAACCTCATCCTTTTGTATGCCTGAGCAATATTCCATCATGTATACATACCACATCCTTATCCATTCATCTGTCAATGGGCACTTGGGTTGCTTCCATATCTTGGCTATTATAAATAATGCTGCAATGAACAGGAGGGCATATCTTTTTCAGTTAGTGTTTTGTTCCCTTTTTGGAGGTAAATACCCAGTAGTGGAATTACTACATCATATGGCATTTTTATTTTTAAATTTTCTGAGGAAACTCCATACTGTTTTAGACAGTAGCTGAACCAATTTACATTTGTGGGTATTTTCACTTTTTCAAATTAACATCTGTACAAGGGGAAGGTAAAGTGAGAGTCAAGGGATGGAGCCAAGAACAGTACAGACAAATATCACCAAAAGAATGAAACTGAGATGTGGAGACCAGAAGCCAGGTGTCACTGCTCAGACAGTGGAACACCATCTTGGCTACTGTGTGCTAGTCCCTACCACCCACCGCCCATATCAACAATCAATACACATTTTCAAAGCCCCAACTTCATCATGTGCTTATGACAGTGCTGAACGAGCACTTTTCACCCCAGCTTTGTAGTCAGAGTTCTGTCTTCCTCTGGGACAAAGCACAAACTCGATGACCCAGAAGTTCTGAAATTCCTGGATCTGTCAATGACCACCCTGCAAGCTTACTATGAGAGTTAGATCATGTCTGATGCTGCCTCTGACCTGTGGCTGCCAGTGTCTCCACCATTATTGATCTTCCTCTAACCACCGCCTACCCCTTTGATTTATTTTATGATATCAAGACAATGGTTCCTCAGGCACCCGGGTGGCTCAGTTGGTTGAGCGACTGCCTTCGGCTCAGGTCATGATCCTGGAGTCCTGGGATCGAGTGAGTCCCGCGTCGGGCTCCCTGCTCAGCAGGGAGTCTGCTTCTCCCTCTGACCCTCTTCCCTCTCGTGCTTTTTCTCATTCTCTCTAATAAATAAAATCTTAAAAAAAAAAGACAATGGTTCCTCATTTCTTTTAAGCAAAATGAAATTAGATCCTTATCTCAGAAAGAAATATTTTTAAAAAAACTCTAGATGGAGGAAAACCCCAACAAAGTTTAAATTATGTAGGACACCTTCATGATCAACAAACAAAAACCATACAGATAAGGATTAACAAATTTAATATCAACATTTTAAATTTCCAAACAAAAACACAGTAAGAACCAAAACACAGGTGGCAAATGAAGAAATATCATAAAATATAAAAGAGACAAAGGAACAGTGCCCAAGATCTATAAAGAATTCTTACAGGGGCGCCTGGGTGGCTCATATGGTTAAGCGTCTGCCTTCGGCTCAGGTCATGATCCCAGGGTCCCGGGATCGAGCCCCACACTGGGCTCCTGGCTCAGCGGGGAGCCTGCTTCTCCCTCTCCCTCTGCCTCTCTCCCTGCTCATGCTCTCTCTCTCTCTCTGCATCTCTGTGTCTCAAATGAATAAATAAAATCTTTAAAAAAAAAAAGAATTCTTACAGAATAGCACAAAAAAGGGGAAAAGGGACACAAAAAGGCACTTCATAAAAAATACAAATATCCTGAAAACATGAGTATCTGCTCATTCTCATCATCATTCAGAAAATTACGAACTGAAACGTTAAGAAGACAAAATGTACACTTTTCATATGAGTAAAAATAAAACAAGGCATGAGAATATAAAGCTTAGCCACCTCAGGGAAGAAGAGTATTAGTGGGCATGTAAAGTGGTCAGTCCACTCAGTATAATATGGTAGCAGCATCAAAACATAAAATGGGCACATTCCACTATCCAGCAATTCCACCTATAGGCATCTCAGACTCAGAAAACATGAGCCCAAGCATAAATGGGTATCAATCTATACCTCAGGAGACATTCTTAAAGACCAACAGAGAGAAGACGGAACACTGGGGAAGGAGTAAAAACTATCACGACGGATCACTTGATAGCAAAAATAGATACCTGAAAATAAAGGAAGGTGTTTTTTTTTTAAGTGCTTGGGGGTGGCACCTGAGTGGCTCAGTCATTAAGCGTCTGCCTTTGGCTTCAGGTCATGATCCTAGGGTCCTGGGATCGAGCTCCACACTAAAACATCTGTATCCAACAGACACACCTAAAGCAAAAGCAAATAGAAGACAAAAGCAAAAGTTTGGAAGAGACAAAAGCTAACCAAAGATTTTATGGTTCTTTGACAACTAATGATAAACTTCAAGTATATAATAGGGCAACAGAACAATGGCAAAAATGTCTATATTAACAGCATGCCTCAAAACAAAAATGTCAGCCAGGACTGTAAATCAAAATCAGCAAATTCAACTGTACTGGGAGCTTTTAATGAACCTCTTTCAGAAATGAAAATTCAGAAAAACTGATAGAGAAGCAGGAAAGAATGTAATTAACTAGCCTGATCCAACAGTTGGATGAAGGGCCATGAAACAACAATTAAAGCCAAACAAATGCTTTCTGAGCACAAGTGGAACATTTGCTAACACTGACAATAAACCAGGCCAAAGAACAAGTTTAACCAAGACCAGACCACACAGCTTTTTTTTTTTTTTTTTAAGATTCTTATGTATTTGAGAGTGAGTGAAAGAGAGAGAGAGAGCACAAGCGGGGCGGGGGGAGCAGAGGGAGAGGGAGAAGAAAACTCCCCTCTGAGCAGGGAGCCTGATGAGGGGTTCGATTCCATGACCCTGGGATCATGACCTGAGGTGAAGGCAGACACTTAAACGACTGAGCCACCCAGGTGCCCTAGACCATAGCCTCTTAACTAGAAATGTGGTCAAGTTAAGAACCAGTAGCAGAAAGAAAACCAAATACAAGAAAAACATTAAGTAAAACAAACTTCTATTTATTGGGAAAAACAAAAACCTATTTCTCCAGAATTCAGAGTTCAAAGGGAAATCTCAGCAGAAATCAGAAAAACACCTAGAATCAAACTGAACAATGGAAATGGTATATCTCAAAACATGTGGCAAATGAGGATGCAGCTAACACAGTTCCTCAGAAAATGTTGGCCTTTAATGCTTATATTAAAAAAAAAAAAAAAAAGAAGACTGAAGGTTAATGAGTCATGGTTCAAGACTTAAGGGAAAGAATTAAGGAGTAAGCCAACAGGAAGTAGAAGGAAAGTGGTAATAAAAGTAACAGCAGAAATTAAAGAACATCCAAGAAGATAAAGAAAACCAAGTCTGTTATTTGAAAAGACTAATGAAAGACGTATTTTGACAAGAGTGACCCCCCAAAAAGAGGAGGCACACATTAGTGATATCAGTTATGAAAAGGGTATTTAACTAAGAAACAGAAGAAAGTTACCAAAATGGCAACAATGGATTTATCCTAAGAACGTAAGGATTGTAAAGTATTAAAATGTCTATTGATGCAATTCCCCATTATTTTCAGATAAAAGTAAAAAATAGTCCCCTACACCCTGTCTCAATAAGAGAGTAATCTGAGGAAATCTCACCCAGACTCATGATCAAACTGCTCTCAGATTCAAGTAGTAGTAGACCCTTTAGCCTGTATCAATAAATTCAGAAAGTGCTTTAAGGAAAGCTCCAATTCTTGATGAAAATTCTTAATGATCAGGGACACAAGGAATCAAGGTAAACATCACACCTAATGTGAAAAATTCAGATTTGTTCACTTTGAAGCCAAGACCAAGACCCCAGAAGCCTGGGGTCCACAGCATTCACCAGTAATATAGAGGGCTAGCTGGTCAGGAGGACCACATCCCAAGATTTAATTCCTGAACACTATCAGTTCCTCACCTACAAAAAAGGCCTCCTAAGGCTGCCCTGCCACCATACCGCATGTTTCCCATACTGGGACTTCTGAGTACACTGGGGCCTGGATGGCCTGTGGCTGTCTTGTGAAGACAAGATAGAGAGAGCACCTTCCTACAGGTCTGTAGGGGAAGGATACATGTGTGTACTTAGAAGAAATGAGTCAGAC